TCCTGCTTGGTCTTGGGACTCTCTAGCTTGTGAACAACAACCAGTGATCTTCATGGGGAGAACAGCCAGCTGGGCTTGAACCAGCAGGTGCCCAGGGCAGAGCATTTCAAAGATGTCAACGAGCCCAGCCTCAAAACTACCCAGCTGTGTGCCCTGGGGCAATTTACTTTCCCTCTCTGTTTCCCCTTCTGTAGAATATGGGTATGTATGTGTGTGTGTGTATATATATATATGTGCCTTCATCAAAGGGCTGTTGAGAAGATTCTATCTATCTATCTATCTATCTATCTATCTATCTATCTATCTATCTATCTGGAGAGAGAGAGAGAAAGTGCAAGCATTTAGGAGAATGCTTGGCACAAAATAAGCCCCATAAAATTTCTCGCTATTGTTGTCATTTTAGATGCAAGTGTCAGTCAGGACTTCTGACACAGACATCTCCCTTTGCACAGGACCCAGAAATGAAAACAGGAGGCTGCTTGTTCCTTCTAGACCTTTTCCCAGAGACTGTGAGTTATCCCTTAAGAGCCACTGGTAACAGGTTTCTCCAGGTTCATCCCACTGTCCCTTCCAGCTCAACAGCGCCACCTGTTATGTAGATTTTATACATCCATGTAAAGTTTCCAGGTGTGAAAGAAAATTGTTGTTGTTAAAGGGCAAGCAGTAAAGAGAAGGGCAACATTGATGGCCAAGTCAAAAGATGAATTTCTTTAATAAAGAATGTGTTCCGACTGTGGACACAAACTCTACTGAAGGTGCCAAAAGACTTGATCTAAGGGCAGCACAGGCAATTCCTGGGAGAGAGAACTCAATTGGGTAACACACATGATAGAAGGGTAAGCAAATTAGACAACCAAACACTCTTTGCTGCCTGCAAATTTAGAGAAAAAAACCAACCTGCTAAAACCAATCCTGGGGAGGTGAGTGTGTAAAGAGCTTTTACATATAGTTGGAAGCTTTATAAATTGAAATAATCCTTCTTGAAGTAATTAAGCAACCTGATGCAATTTAGGATTATGTTTACATTTAATTTTTGAATAAATACTATATTCTTGTGGTTCAAAATGCAAGGAGTATAAAAAGGTTATGCACTGAAAATTCTCCTTCCCGCTCTTCTCTTCCAGCAACCCAGGTACCTCCCCACAGACAGCCCTGGTTAGTGGTTTCTGGTGCAAACTTTCAGGAACATTTTTGTGAACACACACAAATATGTACACATTCATTTCACCCTTTCTTATGCAAATTATAACATTATAGTTTGGCACATTGACTTCTTTACTTAACATACATCTTGGAGATTTTCCCATACCATTTTATAAATAGGCCCCTCTTCCTTTTCTATGGCTAAAGGTAGTACATTGCATGCTGTTATGGGTTGAACTGTGTTCCCCCAAAATTCACATGTTGAAGTCCTAACCTCAGATAACTCCTAATGTGACATTTTGGAAACAAAATCATGGCAGACATATTTAGTTAAGTGGAGGTCATGCTGAAGTAAGTAGTTTGGGGCCCTAATCCAGTATGACTGGTCTCCTTAAAAAAGGTAGAAATTTCACATGCATGCAGTGAGAATGCTGTGTGAAGATGAAGGCAGAGATCGGGTGATGAGTCTACAAGCCAAGGAATGCCAAGAATTTCCAGCAAACCACCAGCAGGTAGTCACTAAACATGGAACCGAATCTCCTTCACAGCCTTTGAAGGAACCAACCTCGCTGACACCTTGATCTCAGACATTTAGCCTCCAAAACTGTGAGACAGTAATTTTCTCCTATTTAACCCACATTCTGTGGGTATTTTGTTACAGTAGCCCTGGCAAACTAATACATGTGAATGTACAATAATTTATGTAATCATGTTTTTAGTTTGGACCATCTTTTATTTTAGAAATGCTGTTGTAACCTTTTCACACACAATTTCATGAATGTGTGACTATACCAACAGGGTAGATTTCTAGAGAACTGCTGTGGCAAAGAGTACGTGGATGTCCATCAATATTGTCTGGTGCCTTCCCAGGAGGTGGCGTTAGTCAACACTCCACCAGCAGGGCAGAAGAGTGTTTTCCCCACCATGCCATCACCACCACCACAATGTGGCTCAAACTTAGGATCTTTGCCATTCTAATAAGAGAAAAATGGTGTTTCCATGTAGTTTGGGCTTGCAGGTTTTTTTTTTTATTGTGAATCATTTGCATAAGCTTTTCTGTGAGTCCATTTTTCCATTGGGTTGTTCATCGTTTCAATCTTGGAGAAGCTCTGTGCATCAGGGAAATTTGCCCTTTGTGATATAAGATGCAAATATTTTTTCCCAGTTAGGCATTTGATTTTTTACTTTTCTTATAGTGGTTTGCTACATGAAAGTATTTTATTTTTATGTATTTGAATTTATCCTTGTTTACTTTTTACAGTTTCAGATTTTGCATTATAGTAAAAAGGAAAGAGAGAAAAAAAAAAACTCCCCAGTCCAATATGAGCAAAGAAATCTCCTGCAGTTTTTCTTCTTTTGTAAAATTTTATGGAAGTGGAAGCAGCTGCCATGATGGTTAGTGTGTGTGCATTTCACATTTATGTCTTAGATACGCTGGCATCAATCCTGGTGTAAGGCTTGAGGTTTGAATCCAACTTCATTTTTTTCCCCAATGCTTCCCAGCTCTCCCTGCTCTATCTTTGCCATTAGTTTGAAATGCTAGCTTTACCAGATATCTGATATCCATGACTGTTTAGGTCTATTTCTAAACTTTACATGTATGTCTCAGAATTATACCAGCTTAATTATTAATATGCTTTAATAGTGCCTTGCATCATTCATATTTTTACAGGCATTTTCTGGCTATAAACAAGCAAGACCCTGTTAATTTTTCCACCTGAACCTTAGAATCAATTGTGGGTTGCCAAAGAAGATTCTATTGCTAGCTTTCATTGGGATCGTTACAGTTATAGATTAATTTACAAGAAATGACTATTATGATGTCAAATGTTTCCATTCATGTGAATGGAACATCCAAGTCTTTCCATAAGTTTAGTTCATCCTCTATGTGCCCAGGAGCACTGTAAATTTTCTTCATATAGGTCTTGCACATGAGTTGTGAATTGCTGGGCATCTGGTCTTTCATTTATGTCTATTGTAAATGTAGTCTTTTCTTCCATTACTCCAACTGTAGTTTCTATATAAGAAAACTTGATTTCTGTATGTTAACTTTGAAACCACACACCTTACAGGAATTCTCGTTTATTCTAGTTTTTTTAAGTTAATTCACGAGAGTTTACAAAAGTGAAATCTTATCTGCAAATACGACAATTATACCCCTGCTTTCCAATGTTTATATTCTGATTTTTTCTCTTTTTTTAATCCAGCTGCAATGGGAAATAATAGTACTGATGGGTAACAATCCTGTCTAGTTCTTTACTTTGATTGTTTCCAGTGTCTACCTATCAAGCTTATTAGTGCTTCTAATCCCCTACTGTTCTTATTTTAAGACTCTTAAAAATGTTCTGTCTGTTGAACCAGTGATTCCAAGAAAAATACGATGAAAGCATTATGCACACTACTATCTATAACAGCACTAATTTATTTTTTAAAAAAGATATACTTAGAAAAAAATCTCAATGAATCACACAGAATAAAGAGACTGTAGATCAATGGAATATCACAAAGAGTAAAAACATGAAAAATGCTAATGTATAGTATGATTTGTAAAAATGCTATATAAAAATACAAATATGGTATGATTACATTATCTGAAAAACACTTATAAATTGGTGATGAAAAAACAGTTTTACCAAGATAAAGTTTACTAAGAAATTTTACTAAGCAGAAAATTGACTAAATTATGGGCTGCTGTGGTGGCACACGCCTATAATCCCAGCACTTTGGGAGGCTGAGGCAGGGGGATCATATGAGCTACGGAGTTCGAGAACAGCCTGGGCAACATGGTGAAACCCCGTCTCTACTAAAAATTAAAAAAAAAATTAGCTGGGCATGGTGGTGCGCGCCTGTAATCCCAGCTACTCACCAGGCTGAGGCAGGAGAATTGCCTGAACCCAGAAGGCGGAAGTTGCGGTGAGCCGAGATCGCGCCATCGCACTCCGGCCTGGGTAACAGGAGCGAAACTCCGTCTCAAAAAAAAAAAAAAGTGGATAATACCAAATCTTCAGGGATTTAGATTCCATTGGATAAATTTGAAATAAAGCAATTTTGTTCTTTTCAAAAAGTCAGCATTAGCAGCATGCCAAAAATATACCCTTTACAATTATTTAAATTTAACATAAAAAATATTTAGATGTTGCTGCTTTTTAAAAAGGCTTATAGCCAATAATAACTTAGTTCTATATTTTTAAATAACTAAGAAATAATTTGATTGCTTGTAACACAAAGGATAAATGCTTTAGACGACAGGTACTCCATTAACCCTGATATAATTATTATGCATTGCATGCCTCTGTATCAAGATATCTCATGTACTCCATAAATAGGGACACCTCCTATGTACTCACAAAAATAAATTTAAAAAAAAAAAGGTTTTCAAAGTCTTTTTAGGTCTTGGGTTTGGGAGCCGACAACGGGGGTTGGGTTGGCAAGGGGTGAGGTCACCGGGGTGAGAGTGTGGCCTGGTCCCAGGGAGCACTCCTGGGGCGCGCTCCCTCCTGGCACACCCCAATGCCCGGCCGGGGGTGCTTCCGATGCTCACGAGCTGGAGGGGCTGGAGCTCTCCGGCGAGCCACCAACCAGTAGAGAATACAATGGGTCCCCAGCCCGGCGCCGTCCTGGCTCCTCCCGCCAAGCCTCCGCTTCCGGGAACGTCACTGCACCCTCCTGGCAACTAATCACTTGTTCGGGAACACAAGCAGGTGGGTAGGCAGGTATTTACTTTATTACCTGTACCCCTCCCCACCCCAGAAGGTAAAGTGCAGGAAGCAGGAAACCCCGCCCACCGTCTCCTCGTCGCGCCCACAGCGCGCGCCCTGCACGGGGCACTCAATAAATAGCCGAGGAAGGCGTTCCCTTCCTCCAGTCAGCGCCGCCGGCTCGGACCATCGAGTCAGTCCTCCAGCGTCCCAGAGAGGGCGCGGAAGTGCCCCAGGGCTGGCGCGGGTTCTTCCGGCGGTGCGGTCCGCGCTTTTGTCCCGCCGGCGGCCGGGCTCCCGCGGCGCCGCCACAGAGAGTACGTGAGTCCGCGGCCGCCCGCTCTCCCGCCCCTGGCCCTTTCCTGCCACGCCCTTCCCTTTTTGACCCGGTCTTGGCTGCCCCGCGGGTCTCGGGCGGGATTTGGGAGTGAGCATGCCCCTGCCCGCACACATCTCAGTTGGCGCGTTCCTGGGGAGCGGAGGGGAGGGAAGACCTCGGGCAGGCAGAGGGGTGTAGGACCAGCCTTTGCAACAGACTGGGCTCAACTGCGACCGTCTGAACTGACCAGCGTCTTGTTAGGGCTGCTCAGTGTTCCGAGAAGGGCCAAGGCCCCACTCCGGTGTTCCTCAACTATTCGTCCCTGTCTTGGATGGAAGGGGATCCCGGAAATTAGCGCTTCAAAATACCCACCATTTCGTGCTCCCACTGCAGCTAAGTTTAGCCCTAGGACTTGAGAGTGGTTGCGAGGGCAGAGAGACCTCTAGGGGTGATCTGATTCAACCTCACCCCCATTTTTTGATGGGTGAGTGATAATGATAAGCTCCTGTTGCAGGTGTGAATAGAGACCCCCAGAGGCGCGTCGTGGCCCTCACTTGGGGAAGCGCACCTGCATACAGACAGGTGCACCGCGAGGAGGCGACCTGCCGCCTGTTGCCGCGAGCAGAACAGGAGTTGACTAGGTAGGGAGAGGTAGGATGAGTTTCTTAAACCTGGGGGACAGCCTGCGGGAACCCAGGGTTGGGACTGGAAAAGGTGAGTGGGGAGTGCCAGGGCTGGGTGTTTAAAGTAAGTGGCTAGCAGGAGCATTTCTTTGTGAAAGCTCACAGCTTAACAAATAATAATCATCTGAAATGTAATCTGAAATTTAATATCGCTGGGATATTAAAAATATAAAAAGTAACCAGTGAAAGATTTCCTCCCACCCCGCTTAGCTATCTTCCTAGGTCCTACCCTCTTAGGTAGCCACTTTTGTTCCTTTGTATCTTTTCCAAATTTCTTTCTGCAAATACTGGCAAATATTACTAGTTAGTTCCCCCTTTTTTTTCACAAAGGTGGTAAAAATCGTTTTTTGTGTGTTTTTTGTTTGTTTGTTTTGAGACGGAGTTTCGCTGTTATTACCCAGACTGGAGTACAATGGCACAATATCGGCTCACCGCAACCTCCACCTCCTGGGTTCAAGCAATTCTCCTCCCTCAGCCTCCCGAGTAGCTGGGACTACAGGTGCGCACCACCATGCCCAGCTAATTTTTGTATTTTTTTAGTAGAGACAGGGTTTCACTTTGTTGACCAGGATGGTATCGATCTTTTGACCTTGTGATCCACCCGCGTCGGCCTCCCAAAGTGCTGGGATTATAGGCATGAGCCACCGCGCCCAGCTGGTAAAAATCGTTTTACCCCTTGCTTCTTTCACTTTATCTTACCGGTCTCTACACATACCAGAACACAGTTTGGTTTGGTTTGGTTTGGTTTGGTTTGGTTTGGTTTGGTTTGGTTTGACAGAGCTGTGGTACGTATTGGATGGGCCATCGTTTGGATGTTTTCAATGTTCTGTCCTTTTTTAGATCTGTTCAGGGGCATTTGGGTTGTCTCCAGTTTTTTTGTAACTTCAAACAATGGTATACTCAATACTGTGTATTAGGGTGAGGATTTTTAAAGAAGAAACTAAACAGCCGTTAAAAAAATTCTTGTCTTACATTAACTCAACTAGTTATTGGCAGACTGTTACATATGACAAGTCATTATGAAAATCACTCATGTAGTGTCTAAAAAACAAATAAGACTAAGTAGTCCTTCCCTCCTGAGACTTGTCCCTATATGTAGTCTTACACGAGTCTAATAGACTAATTCTGTCAATGACTCCAAGCCAGTCCCTGCCAGGTTCAATTCAGAAAATCGCTCAGCTTCCCTTTTAGTATCTCCTTTGTTCACCTTCTCTCCTAGGATAACTAAGAATCTCTTCTCCACTGCTTGGTATGAGTATATTCTATTTCAGTTTTTTTACTTTAAGGAAAAAAATCACCTTTCATTCTTATGTCTACATTTAATCAATAGAACCAACTCACATTAACTGTCTACATTCCTAATATTCATAGACAAATGCAACAATAGCTAGAACACAAACCATATTGTCTTCTCATCTGCATGTCACTTCTCTATTCCTTAGTCCCATCTTTCATTTGCACATTTTCTCCCTCCTAAGTACTCTTTCTTCTGGGTTGGTAAGCATTTTGTGACCACATTGTGTTTTGTCACATCTCCTTTGGTCATCTCCAAATCAAATACAGTATCCAAGAACTTAAGGTATGGTAGCCACACGTGATACTTGAGGTGGTAGTTTGTCTTGTGGAATATGACTGGACTCCACAAATTCAGAGTAGTTGCTGGCTAGTTGTAGTCAGAAAGGAAGGAATTTTCAGCCAGAGTAGGCCACATTTCCTCTTTCATGAGTTGTCTAGGCTCTTGAAAAGTGGCTCCTGAGTCTTGGGGGCAGAGACAGCAAGAATTTAGGGCAGGTTCTTAGTATTTGCATTCATTTTCCTAGGCTTTGGTGATAGAGCATGAACAGGAAGCACAAAAGTGCCCAGAGGTCATTGGTCATATGTAGTTTGGAAGGAGTGGATGGCATTCTGTGTCTGACACTTGACTGATGTGTCTAGGCTATTAGAGTCATGCTGCATGTTGAAAACTGGTTAGAAAGGACTTGCCCATTCAGCCTTTAGAACTTTTAAGCAATTCAAAACTTTCTGGGTCTTTCCATGGAAGAGTTGTGTTTTGGGGGGTAATTCATTACTTGTGTCATAGGGGACACATGACTTAGCCACCACATCAGTCTTCCTGATTGGTTTATGATGACTTTCTCCTGGAACTCCAGGACTCAGTCCTGTCTCACCTCAATCCATTCTCCCACTGTAACCAGTATGAGTGATCTTTCTTTTTTTTTTTGAGACAGAGTCTTGCTCTGTCACCCAGGCTGGAGTAAAATGGCACTATCTTGGCTCACTGCAACCTCTGCCTCCCAGGTTCAAGCGATTCTTGTGCCACAGCCTCCCAAGTTGAGTAACTGGGACTACAGGTGTGCACCACCACACCCAGCTAATTTTTGTATTTTTAATAGAGACAGGGATTCGCCTTGTTGGTCAGGCTGGTGTTGAGCTCCTAGCCTCAGGTGATGTGCCTGCCTCAGCCTCCCAAAGTGCTGGGATTACAGGAATGAGGCACTGCGCCTTGTCTGATCTTTTTCAAAATTTTTTCTTATGAACTTACATACACCCATCATTCAGATACAGCAATTATCAAGATTCTGCTGTTTAACTTTTCCCTTTTTATTTTTTCTTTATATAAATATTTTAAAGCAAATTCCAGGTACCATGCCATTTCACTGTAGACTTCAGTCTGAATTATTAAAAAAAAAAAAAAGTCAGGGGCAAGCACAGTGGCTTACCCTGTAATCCCAGCACTTTGGGAGACAGAGTTGGCCAGATCACCTGAGATCAGGAGTTGAAGACCCAGCCTGACCAACATGGGGAAACCCCACCTGTACTGAAAATACAAAAATTAGATGGGTGTGGTAGCAGGCACCTGTAATGCCAGCTACTCAGGAGGCCAAGACAGGGAGAATTGCTTGATCCCAGGAGGCGGAGATTGCAGTGAGCCTATACGTACCATTCCACTCCAACCTGGCAACAGAGCAAGACTCCATCTCAAAAAAAAAACAGACAGTTCTAACATAGCCACAATGCCATTATTATACCAGCCTAAATTCACTCTGATTCCTTGATATTATCTAATAGAGGTGGGCACACTGCTGGGCTTTTGGTCTGTTTATGTACATGACCTGCAAACTAAGAATGATTCTTAAAGAAACGCTTAAAAAAACAATACTCAGCAGTTCTATATGGCCCATAAAGCTAAAATATACCTACCTGATACTTTACAGAAAACGTTTGCCAACCCCAATTTAGTAAAGTAATTTTTCCAAAACACACATCCAAGTTTGCTACTTCTTTGTCCACCTGTCTGGCTTCCCCTTCGTCTGCCCCAGATGTCTTCAGGGGGCTGAACACCAATTCCTCTATAGCTGCTCTCCGTTGGCATTCTTCCTGAAGCTCTTCCTGTAGTCCATCCTCCACTCCCACCATCTGTACCCTGTATTTGCCTCTGTCATTTTTATTACATGGTTATTTTCCTGCCAGACTCTCCTACTAAATCTGCAGGCGCCTCAGTGGCATGGCCTTGTCATTTCCATCTCCTTGGATAGGAATAGCCCAGGGCCTGGAAAATAAACAGGATACAGATAATAGTCTAAGTTCCTTGCGTAACACTCAGCCTCAGAAATAACTGATTCTAGAGTGCATCTTCAGTATTGTTTATAAGGATAATTTGATGTTGCGTTACATTCTTTTTATTGTCTTTACATGTTGGCAGCATTTACTCTAGTGCTTTTCTGTCTGTGTTTTTGATAGATCTTAGTATTGATTAATATAGATTTCATTTCAAGCCATCTATGTTCAATGAAGATGCATGTTTATATTAATCTATTTTGATTTGACTCATAAAGAGGATTGGATTAACTACATCAGGTGATAGGACATTGTGTCCCGAACCCAAACAGTGGGGTTTAAGCAGAGCTAGAACAGGGAGGCCCCTGGTCTTCACCTAGGTTAGAGAGGTAAGTAGCAAAGTATCTGTGATTTTAGGCAGACCAGACCAGTCAGCAGCCAGTCTGACATAGAATCCCAGAGAACAGGAAGAAAACTAATAATCTACTTGTCAAAGAAACAAAGGAGGAAGGATCAGGCTGAGAATCAGTGGAGTGGAAATGAGGGATGACACTTGCACAGGTGGCTGGTGCAAAAGGCTTTAGGTGCCATAGTAAGTAGTCTGGGAGAACTTGGCACTGCCCAGTGACCAGGTGTGCATTTTACAAAAACTCTTGACAGTGGTTGGAGAAAGAATTGGGCAGGGGTAAGAGTGAAGGTCAAGAAATGTTGGCAGTACTGCAGAAGAGAATTTAGGAGGCTTAAACTAAGGCCTTAGCAGTAAGAAGGAGGTGGGGGATAGGGGAAGAGCTTCAGAACTATTTGGGCAATAGAATCAGTGGTCTTAGGGGCTGTTTTGGATGTGGCCAAGGGAAATATAAGAGCCCACTTCTGACATAGGCAAAGGGGAGGGCAAGGTGGATATGAGGGTCTGTAATTGAGAGGGATCTTGGCCAGAGATGAGGACCTGAGAGACAGCTTGTGGGGAGTGCTTAGAGCCGTGCAGGGCTCCTAGGGGAGTATATGGAACCAGAAGAGGAAAGGCTCGAGGTGGAAGGTGGGGCCAGGAACATCCAGGGGCAGCAGCCTGGAGGGCAAGCACCAGCCTGAAGAAGCTAATGCTCTGTGGTCTGAGTGTAAGAAATGAGGCATGAGGGCAGTGGGATGTAAAGACCACTTTTTCCAGATACAACAGGCAGTAGGATAGCAAAGCAGTACCTGGAGGGGAAGGTGTAGAAGAGGAAACAAGTTTGCTTTTTGACATTTTTACAACTGTTTGGTAATAATTTTAAGTGCACAGAAAAATTTCAAAAATACGAACAGTAAAAAGATACCCATTACTCAGATTTACCTGCAGTTAACATTTGACTTCATTTTGTTTTCTTGCTCTCTTTCATACATACAAATATTTTCCTAAACCATTTGTAGTTGTAGGTAAGTTACATATATCATGGCCCTTTATCCCTAAATACTTCATTGTATATTTCCTGAGGATTGGGACAGTCTCTTATATACCTACAGTACAGTTTTAAAATTGAGTATATTTGAAGTTGATACCTCTTTTGTCTAGTCTACCATCCATATTCCAACTTTGTCAGCTGATACAATTTTTTACTGTAACAATTTTTCCCTCTAATACAGATCCAGTCAAGGTTGGGAATTTAATATAGTGGTCAAGTCTCTTGAGCCTTCTTTAATCTGGAACATTTCTACGGCTTTTCTTTGTCTTTTATGAAAATGATATATTTGAAAAATATAGTCCCCCCTCTTCCCTCCACCCTCTTTTTTAGTAGAAAACATTTTTCATTTTGGGTTTATCTGATGTTTCCTGATGCTTCAATTCGTATAATGCATTCGCATAGGTGATGTGTCCTTCTCCCTACTAAAAGTATAGTATGTCCATCTGTTCCGCTGGAGATGTTAAATTAGAAAACCTGGCCAAGGCATTGTCTCTTTACTGTTGAATTTTTCCCCTTGTAAATAATTTAAGCATTATAAATATTTAAGACCATGCAGATATCCTGCTCCTTGTCAGAATTTCCCCCTAGACTTAGAAATCATTGATGATTCTCTCCTGATCCGGTCTTTATTCTGATAGTTGCAGAATGCTGATTTTTCCAATTCTGGTATTCCTTTTACATTTACCAGCCAGCACTCACATTCTGATATAGGCAAGAGGCCTGCCTTTCTCCCCTGTTTGTACCTGTGTATACGTATGAAATCTTATCTTCAATGGTTTATATCACTATAGTTAGTTACACATTAGTTATACATATATGTATACTTAGTTATACATGTGACTTAAGTTATTATGGTGCTTAAAGTTATTATGGTACTTCAACATTGAGTGTTCAAGCTGGGTCTTTTTTTTTTTTTTTTTTTTTGAGCCTGTCTTTACTTGCTGGTGTAACACGATGTTCATCTTGTATGTTTTCTGCTCTCAGCCTGGAATCTGCCATTTCTTTGAGAAGTTCTGGTTCCTTTTAGTAAATAATGGTAATAGAGATCCAGAATGAGGGTACTAGATGTGTTCATTGCCACTGGGGTGTTATCGTTTTTTGGTCTTTCTGCAAACACGGCTAGGAAATATATGCATACAGATATACAGACTTAAACATACACACATGTACATATATATAATTTAGAAATCGTAAGTTCATACCAGTACTTTGAATTCATCCCAAGGTTTATTCTCGCCTTCCTCTATTCCTTATTTTTATGTACCTTTCTCCAGGAGATCCCTAACTCCCAATAAAATCAACACGTTTACTCAGGTTCTTTTACATCTAAAATTGTTTCAGAATTGCTTTGTTCATACCTCTACATAAAACCTGCTAACAGTTTAATTGTTTGTATCTCTTCCAACTGCCCCGCCTTCAGCTTTTCCCAGACTGAATATACCTATGTAGTCAAATATGTTTCTAAGTTGCCTGGATTAGTTCTATGTTTCTTTTTAATTTGTTCTCTTCCTGTGGTTGTGGTATTCATGTGAAATGCAAACAGGTTGATTTGTTTCTATTTGTTTTCTGTTTTAGCAGTTTTTCCTTTCTCAACCTCATTGATATTTAATTTTATTCTTTGAATATGTAGAACATTAGCATGTATTTTTATAGTAAAAACTATTTAAAAAGCTATATACTCTGTCTCTTTCTCTCTCTCTCTTCCTTCTCGTCCCTTCTTTTCCATTCTCCACACTCCTCCCTTGTAGGCAATGAATCTCATTGTTTTCTGATTTATCATTGCTGTAAAGAGAATCACATATGTGCTTGTTTCCCTGTTTTCTTTACTACACAAATCGTAGCATGTATGTTACTCTTTTTCACTTTGCCCTTTTGACTTTAGGGTATACAGATTAGTCCCTATCAATTCAGAAATGCTCCTTATTCTTTTTTAGCACTCCATTGTGCATATGTGCCAGTTTATTTAACCAGTCTTCTGTGCTTGGACATTTACATAGGTTTCCAGATTTTGCAGTTACATATAATGCTATAATGAATCACTCTGTGCATGTACGTTTTTTGTATTGTTGTCAGTACATCCTCAATATAAATTCCTAAAGCAGGATTTCTGGGTAAGTGCATATATGATTTTGTTAGACATTGGCAAATTCCCCTCAAAAGGGGCTGTGCCAGTTTGCATTCCCAGCAGTGTCTGAGAGTGCCTCTTTCCTCCACAGCCTCATGAACATTGTGTTGTTCAGCTTTGGACATTTGCTAATATGACAGGTGAGAAGTGGTATTTTATAGTGGTTCTTATTTGCCTTTCTCATATTGTGAATCAAGTTGGATGTTTAAGGGCCATTTTAAAGAATTGTCCATTCGTCTTTTGGCTGTTTTCCTGTATGATTTTTAGTTTATTTTTCTTCAATTTTTGAAAATGTTTCAGTCTTTTCTTGCATATGAGTCATAGAAAGCTTTCTCTGTACTCAGGTCATAGAGGCATATGCCCATGTTTTCTCGCATTTATACAGCTTTTTTGTATTTAGAGCTCTGTTCCATTTGGAGTTTATTCGTGTGTGGTGTGAAGAATGGGATCTAATTTTATCTTTTTCCATATGGCTTCATAGTTGTTACAACACTATTAAAAGACCATCTTTTCCCCAGTAATTTGAGATATCATCTTTAATCATCAATTTCTATGTGTACCTGGGACAATGTCTGGACTTCCTGTTCTATTCTATTTGCCTGTCTGTGTACCAAGACCACACTCTTAATTAGAGAAGTTTTGTAATATATTTTAATATGTAATATGCAGGTGGCCTTCTTTCTCATCTCTGCAGTAACTGTCTTCATGATTTCATAGGCTTCTCCCTGATACCCCTCCCCAAGTACTAATTTCTCCTCTTTAGTTTTGTCTGTGCTCTGCTGATTTGACTAACTTTTGATAATAAAAAAAGTTATGCCTAACTTTTGATAATAAAAAAAGTTATGCCTAACTTTTGATAATAAAAACAAGTTATGCCTAACTTTTGTCCTCCTTATGAATTTTTCTGTCTTCTATTCTTCAGAGATTTCTTCTGCCTCTGTTTTCCCATAACTGGATGACATTGTTAAAAAACTGATTGGTGTTGTCCATGGTTCTGTGCATCGTTTCACTTTCCCTATGCTAAGCTGCTATGCAAGAATAGAAAAGCTCATTGTTCCATTGAAAATCCAGGGCTATAACATTTTAATATTAGTTTCACAGGGGCAGAAATTTTGTCGTATTTAATGTTGTATCCCTAGTACTTAAAAAATGGTACATGGTACCTATCACACAGTATGTTGTCAGTAAGTGTTTGTCAGGTGAATGAGCAAATTTTGTTCTTTGTTGTTATTCCAGTTTTTGTTGTGGTTGTTGTTGTTTTAAGAGAGTGAACAAGTGTCCTTTTCATTTTCTTGGTTTAGTGTCACATTTGAAGACGGGCACTGAGGATGAGGAACCAACTGAAGAATATGAAAATGTTGGAAATGCAGGCTGTAAGTGGCCAAAAGTGGAAGGTCTTTACAAGGGTCGTATGCCCGAATCTAAGGTTGGTGACACATGTGATTGGGATAGCAAGGTAGAGAAACAACAGAAAAAGCCTGTGGGAAGCAGGATAAAGGAAGACAGAAGCAGCATCAGGGAAGCGATCAGCAAAGTTAAGAGTACAGCAAATATAAAAACAGAACAGGAAGGTGAGGCATCTGAGAAGAGCTCACATCTAAGCCCACAGCATATCACACACCAGACTATGCCTATAGGACAGAGAGGCAGTGAGCAAGACAAATGTGTGGAAAACATTAATGGAACCTCCCACCCCAGTCTACAGCAGAAAACCAGTGCTATTAAGAAATTACATAAATGTGATGAGTGTGGGAAATCCTTCAAATATAATTCCCGCCTCATTCAACATAAAATTATGCACACTGGGGAAAAGCGTTATGAATGTGATGACTGTGGAGGGACTTTCCGGAGCAGCTCGAGCCTTCGGGTCCACAAACGGATCCACACTGGGGAAAAGCCGTACAAGTGTGAGGAATGTGGGAAAGCCTACATGTCCTACTCCAGCCTTATAAACCACAAAAGCACCCATTCTGGGGAGAAGAACTGTAAGTGTGATGAATGTGGAAAATCATTCAATTATAGCTCTGTTCTGGACCAGCATAAAAGGATCCACACTGGGGAGAAGCCCTATGAATGCGGTGAGTGTGGGAAGGCCTTCAGGAACAGCTCTGGGCTCAGAGTCCACAAAAGGATCCACACAGGGGAGAAGCCCTACGAATGTGACATCTGTGGGAAAACCTTCAGTAACAGCTCTGGCCTTAGGGTCCACAAAAGGATCCACACGGGTGAGAAACCTTATGAATGTGATGAGTGTGGGAAGGCCTTCATTACTTGTAGAACACTTCTCAACCATAAAAGCATCCACTTTGGAGATAAACCCTATAAATGTGATGAGTGTGAGAAATCTTTTAATTATAGCTCTCTACTCATTCAGCATAAAGTCATCCACACTGGAGAGAAACCTTATGAATGTGATGAATGTGGGAAGGCTTTCAGGAACAGCTCAGGCCTCATAGTACATAAAAGGATTCACACTGGAGAGAAACCTTACAAATGTGATGTCTGCGGCAAAGCATTCAGCTATAGTTCAGGACTCGCAGTCCATAAAAGCATTCACCCTGGGAAGAAAGCCCATGAATGTAAGGAGTGTGGAAAATCCTTTAGTTATAACTCACTTCTTCTTCAACATAGAACTATTCACACTGGAGAGAGACCTTATGTATGTGATGTGTGTGGGAAAACATTCAGAAACAATGCAGGCCTCAAAGTCCACAGGAGGCTTCATACTGGGGAAAAACCATATAAATGTGATGTGTGTGGGAAGGCCTATATCTCACGTTCTAGCCTTAAAAATCACAAAGGAATCCATCTTGGGGAGAAGCCCTATAAATGTACCTATTGTGAGAAATCCTTCAACTACAGCTCTGCCCTTGAGCAGCATAAAAGGATTCATACCAGGGAAAAACCCTTTGGGTGTGATGAGTGTGGAAAAGCTTTCAGAAATAATTCCGGCCTTAAAGTACATAAACGGATCCACACTGGGGAACGACCTTATAAATGTGAAGAATGTGGGAAGGCATACATCTCTCTCTCGAGCCTTATAAATCATAAAAGTGTACACCCTGGGGAGAAGCCCTTTAAGTGTGATGAGTGTGAGAAAGCCTTCATCACATACCGAACCCTTATAAACCACAAAAAAGTTCATCTTGGGGAGAAGCCCTACAAATGTGATGTGTGTGAGAAATCTTTTAATTACACATCACTTCTTTCTCAGCACAGAAGGGTCCACACTAGAGAGAAACCCTATGAATGTGACAGGTGTGAGAAGGTCTTCAGAAACAACTCAAGCCTTAAAGTTCATAAAAGAATCCATACTGGGGAGAAGCCCTATGGATGTGATGTGTGTGGAAAAGCCTACATCTCACATTCAAGCCTTATTAACCATAAAAGTACCCACCCTGGCAAGACACCCCATACATGTAATGAATGTGGAAAAGCTTTTTTCTCAAGCAGAACTCTTACAAGCCATAAAAGAGTCCATCTTGGGGAGAAACCCTTCAAGTGTGTTGAGTGTGGGAAATCTTTCAGTTACAGCTCTCTGCTTTCTCAGCACAAGAGGATCCACACAGGGGAGAAACCCTATGTGTGTGATAGATGTGGGAAGGCCTTCAGGAACAGCTCAGGCCTCACAGTGCATAAAAGGATCCACACAGGTGAGAAACCCTATGAATGTGATGAATGTGGGAAGGCATACATCTCACACTCAAGTCTTATCAACCATAAAAGTGTCCATCGGGGGAAGCAGCCCTATAATTGTGAGTGTGGGAAATCCTTCAATTATAGATCAGTCCTTGACCAGCACAAAAGGATCCACACTGGAAAGAAGCCATACCGATGTAATGAGTGTGGTAAGGCTTTTAATATTAGATCAAATCTCACCAAGCATAAAAGAACCCATACTGGAGAGGAATCTTTACATGTGATATATGTGGGAAGTCATAGTGGCACATCCCAGAAGAGAACCTATGAGGGAGGGAATGCCCTGGATGGGAGCAGGATGAGGATGCCTTTGTAGCAGGCAGAGCTTACCAAGTCTCAGAACTCAAATGGAAGAAATACCTTATGAATGTAAGAATGCATGGGGTCATGGCTTGTAATTTACCCAGTATAAGTGAAACCATCCTAGAGGATTGTGAGGAATCCTTTCTATGTGATTTTCAATCAGCGAGCAAGAAAGGTTCCAGTGTCAAGGTAATTCAGCTCTTACAGGATATAAAATAGTCCATCCTTGAGATAAAAACTTATCCAGGTGATGGGATGTGAAATGAATCTGCAAAATTAGTAGACATTTCTGGACATAAAACACACATATGAGGAAAGGACTTCAATTAAAAGTCACATAATCACCATCAGAAAGTTGATGTTTGGTGAATTCTATTACTAGAAATACAGGAAATTCAGGTATATCTTTGAATCCCAATTACATATTGGTCAGTGGGAAAACTAAGAAGGGCCTCTAGCAGGCAGTTTCAGGGAGAGATAGGCTTCAGGGAATATAAATTTATTTAATATGAGTGTTCTTGAAGTATAAACTTGATATAATTGTTTTGGGAGGGGGACAGTGATGATGACTTCTGAAACAAAATTTGGGTTTCCTTTTAGGAAAAGTAGAAAGCATAGACTTATAATTCTAACAAGAGATAGAGTCACTTAAAAAATGCAAGTTGATGAACATAATATTGTGATACATTAGTTGAGTGAATGAAACTTCTTTAAAGTTTCAGATGAACTCCTATAATGAATGGTGAACTTGTGATGAGGGAGAACCTGGAAGTGGTATTCACACATTATGCAACAATAAAAGGTTCTACCAAGGAGAGGATTTTGACACATTCAGTAACTAATGGAACACGCCGTCAACATAAATTTGCACCTTACATGACGTAATTGATTCAGGGGTTCCTATGAATAGAAATGCTGGGAAGGAACGCATTTTGTTGCAGAAGCTAAAAAGCTAAGTACCAGTCCCTCCAGAGAGAAGGAAGTTAATGTTTCTTAATAATCCTGTTAAGTGTTTGTTTTGGAATGTGTTGTTGTAAAGATGTCATGCAGTACATGTGTATATTGTCTGTTGTAAAATGTTAACAAATACTTTGTTTAGAGCTCACTCTCTCTTTGTCATGGAATCCAGCTCCTTGTGGTAGGTAAAGTGGAATTCTAATAAAGAAATTCCTCAAATCAAAACTGGCTGTGAGTTTAGATGGAGGATACGCAGAGCCATTTGTGTGTCAGGTCTTTGTGGGGTAAGTTATACCAGCTCCAAACCAGAGAGGGCAGTGGACTCATCCCACAGAGCTAGCAGCTCAGCTAGTTTCCAGAAATTAGAAGGTGCCTCCCTAAGAGGAGCACAGGTTGGATTTTGAGGGTACCACAGTGGAACAGTGTGATCCTCCTGCTGGGCCAGATCCTAACTCATGGGAGCCAGATAGGTTGTGTGCGTGATAAGTCACCACACACAGCTCTGTCAGGAACATGTAGAATTGAACATAAAATACTGCTGTGTATGAAGCTGTTAACTAGGTAACTCAAAGGTTAAAAATAGACTCTTGAGAATTTAGTAACCGCCTGAGAATACTGTTAGTGGGCTAATCAGTAAAGGCTGAATTCTAAGTCTGATCTATGGTTTCAGAATCCACTGTCTTTACAAGAGAACAATCTGTAGCCATGTAGTTTCCCATCTCCGTCTAGGACTCTTGTCTAGCCAGATAGCTTCCATGCTCTTTCTAGGAGTATAATTCTTTGACTTTGTATCCCAATCCCTACCAGTAAGTTTTGATGGCTGGGGTGGGGAAGGGTGGAGTTGAGGGAGGAATATTCTGATTATACTAGCTCTCTATCCTTTGCACATGACACTAGCAAGCCTGACCCTATACACAGACTTGGACTGATTTATAAGCAAATACTTGAGGATCTGCTAGGCACTGTCCCTTGTCCTAGGTACTGGGTGGGAGAGGATGACAGCAGTAGATCCTAGTAGATGAGGTTGAATAAAGTGAGAAAGGCTATTAGCACAACCACCCTAATGGATGTCTGAATTAGGCTCTGCAGGTGCTCAGAGGACAGTGACCAGGACCAACCAAGTGGGAAGAAGCAATGACATCTGGGCAGGACGTTGAATTGGGTTTTCTGAGAGAGGAGTGGGAACTAGGATGACCTGAGTACAGACAGTGATGGAAGTGCCCAGGCATCCTCCAGTGAGGCTGGTCTGTGGCAGGGCTGGCATCTGGGCAGGAAGAATGGTGCTGTGGAGTACTCGTTCCCCGTAGTCATGGGAATGTGGATTGGGCTTCCTTCTGCTGAGGATGAGACCAGCTCTGGCTATTTTTAACCTGAGGTTTCCGTGTGCTCCTCACACAGGAGAGCTCCCGTACTCGAGCTCCAACTAAACCTAATGCACTGCCTACTTTTGGGGAAGATGCAGGCTAAATAACAAAGGAGAGGATGGCCACAGCTCAGGTGGGGATTCTGAGTGCCTCAGTTCCCCAAGCGCCAGACATGGCTCCTACTACGGCCCCCATCTACTTGCATGCTCCAGAAATGGACCCAAGTCCTCGAGTGTACCTACAGCCAGATACAAGCCATTCAGGCGGATTCCAGACATGGTGAGGTCTCCATTATAGCACAGACCCAATGAACTGGTGTGGCTGAGCCTGCTCAGACCAGGGATGGAAGGTCGTTTAGGGACTACCCCCCAACCCCTTCCAGAGAATGATATGTAATTGGGAAAAATAAAGAGGGGAAGGGAAAAGCAGGGAAGAGAAAAAAGAAAAGCCTGAATAAACAATGAGTATGTAGTAGCCTTCCGTAGGAGTGCACATCTCTCTGTATTAGCAAATTTGTCTGAAGGTGAAAGCCTGGAAAATAATTTCATGTTTCATGTATGGAGACGGTGTGAAACAGTGCTGAACGCCAATCCTGCAATGCAGGGACATTTTCCTTCACGGGATTCAAAAACGAGAGGATCACCACCAGGACAACACCTGAAGACCTGTTAGCTGAAGATAGATGTTGGGGATCTGAAGTCTGTCTGCATCAAGACCTTGAGGAATTGGCTCAGCTGTACCCAGGGGAGTCCCTGGACTGGGAAGACCCTCCATTTCTCTTCTCCAGTTTCAGCTAAGGGCCTTGGCCTAGAGACATGGAGAAGGAAGTAGAATACACTACTTCAATTGTATTCCTACTGAGGAGCCATTCTTGCTTAGACCTGACAGTTCTCAGGCCCTAGTTAGTGCCATTGTGCTAAGGAAGTCGTTTGCATGAAACCTATGTAGAGGCAGTGAAATACAGTGGCTGAGGGTGTGGTGTCTCTGCCAGGAAGCCTGGATTCAAATAAGGACTCTCACTTATTTCCAGATGACTTTAGTCAAGTAATTAAACCTTGTCTTATTCTTGTTTGTCTTCATGTCTTTTTTTTTTTTTTTTTTTTTGAAACAGGGTCTCGCTTTGTCACCCTGGCTGGAGTGCAGTGTGATCTCAGCTCACTGCAACCTCTGCCTCCTGGGCTCAAGCGTTCCTTGTGCCTCAGCTTCCAGAGTAGCTGGTATTACAGGCATGCGCCACCATGCCAAGCTAATTTTGGTCTTTTTACTAGAGACAGGATTTCACCATTGTTGACTAGGCGGGTCTTGAACTCTTGGCATCAATTAATCTGCCCAGCCTAGGACTCCCAAAGTGCTGAGATTGCAGGCCTGAGCCATCACAGGCCACCACATTGGGCCCTTACCTATCTTTTGTAAAGATAGTAGTGGCAACCTCATAGGTAATGAGGGTTGGAAACATTAATATTATTAAGGCCCTTAAAAGACTGCCTAAAATAAGAAGTATTTGCATAAGAATGTATGGAGTAAGTCTGGTGAGTAAATGTGGCCCTGTCTAAGGACTCAGCATCTAGATTCTTGGGCAGTGGAGGACAACTCTTACCTGAAAGACAAGAAACTCCCTCAGGGCCACCCCCTACTCAGACAAAACTTGATACGTGAGAAAAGTGTTTTTTTTGTATGTTCCTGAGTGGTATCTTGCTTCTAAGTAAGCAATCCATTGTCTCTAAACAAACTTGTTTTGTCTTTGTTAGGCTACAAAAGGGCTCAGCGGGGGGAACCTCCAGCCGAGGCCAGTTACCACAGGTGTTAGGGGACAAGGGCTGCCTCATGCTTGCTTTCTGTCTGGCTTGGGCAGCCCGCTCACTCACGTGGTACACATTTTGTTTCCCCTGTGTTTTCCCAGCAATACTCAGATGTACTGGAGATTACTGTAGGAAGTGTTGTTCCACTGTGTTAACCATGGCTATTTCTGGTGAGTGTCTCTTAAGATCTCAAAGGATAAGCAGTGTATTGCTTCTGGGTCTTTTGGCTAAGATCAAGTGTAGGATAAGCAGTGATCCTGGGTTGGGCAGGGCAAAGACCAACAAGAGAGGAGCAGGCAAAGTTCCTCTGGTCTTGGGTGCAAACTGTAGGGCCATGTTCCGTTCAATGCAATAATATGAATTTATTTCCTCTTCTATCATTTTCCCATCTATAAAATGAGGGAAAAGACCTATTTACAAGATTACTTTAAGGCTTAATAAAAATGCTCTGTATTTTATAAAAATTTGTATAAACTTTGTTAAATTGACTTATCTTTTTAAAAGTTAAAGGAAGGAAATAGAAAAGAGAGCAAAAGTTGTTGAAATAGGAAACAATAAAGAAGACCAACAAAGTGAAGGTTGGTACTTTGAAAAGACTGAAAATTGATAAACTCTGATGTGATTGAAAAATAAAAAAAAAAACTACAAATAAAGGTAGGAATGAAAATTGGGGAATCACAACAGATAACATGGGTTATTTAGAAGTGTATTTTTTGACTTCCAAACATGGAAACTTCCTAGTTATATTTTTGTTATTGTGATCATAAAACACACTCTGTATTACTGCTATCCTTTGAAATGTCTTGAGATTTGCTTCATGGCCCAGCATATGTTTGACCTTAGCGAAGGTTCATGGGCCCTTGAAAAGAATGCATGTTCTACAGATGCTGCATGCAGTCATCTACATAAAGCCTTTAGTTTATTTGTAATACATTGTTCATATTGTCTCCACTCTTAATTTTTATTTGCTTGTCTAATGAGTCAATTGTTGAGTTATTTATCTCTACTTAGATATAGTTCTATGAATTTTGCTTTATATATTTGAGGCTACACAAATATAAAATTCTTGTATGAATTGAAATTTTATGAAGTAAACCTCTATCTCCAGTAATGCCTTTTGCTAAATGACTCTTGTTTTCTGGTATTAATAACATTGGCTTTTTTTTGTTGTTGTTATTGTTATATGGCACTTCTTTTACTTTCAACCTTCTTGTATTTTTATGTTTTAGATGTACCTCTTGGAAATAGCATATAGTTGTTGCTTTAATCCAGTCTGAAAACATGTTTTAACAGGGTTATTTAGCTCTTTAATGTATAGTTACTGATAAGTTTGTATTTAAATCTTATTCACTGCTTTCCATTTACTCTACCCCATCTGAGTTGTGTTATCTCTTCTCTTACCTTCATTTGGATTGGATTAGAATGATTCTATTTATACTCTATTATTCTGTTTTTCCATCTTTTTGGTTGGAAGTTATATACTTTTTCTCTTCTTTTAGAGGCCTAGGAAATAAAAGATAGATTCTTGACTTAAGCCTAATATTAATTGATACTTTTATCTTCATCCTAGGCAATGCAAGATTCTTAGAATACTTCAGTTTCCTTTACCTTCCATCCTGTATGCTTTTGTTTTGGTTAATTTTAATTATGTACATATAAATGTACCTAGATATGTATTAAAATATGTTACTGTTGTTTCCTATACAAATGTTTATTTTAGATTTATCTACGTATTTACTATTTTAATTACTTTTCATTTCTTTTTTGGTTTTTTTGTTTTGTTTTGTTTTTAGAGACAGATTCTTGCTCTGTCACGCAGGCTGGACTGCAGTGGCAAAATCTTGGCTTACTGTAGCGTCCACCTCCCAGGTTCAAGCAGTTCTACCTCAGCCTCCCAAGTAGCTGGGACTACAGGCGTGCACCACCACGTGCAGCTAATTGTTTTATTTTTAGTAGAGATGGGGTTTCACTGTGTTGGCCAGGCTGGTCTCGAACTCCTGACCTCATATAATCCACCTGCCTGGGCCTCCTAAAGTGCTGGGATTACAGGCATGAGCCACCCTGCCCAGCTTTTTCATTTTCTTTCATTCTTCTCCACCTCTGCAATTTTTTATTTGGGGACATCTTCCTTCTCTAAAAAACATTCTATAGAACACTCTGTCCTGTTAGAGGCAATTTTTATTTGCTTAAAAATAGCTTCATTCTTAAAAGAGATTTTTGGTGGGAATAGAATTCTAGGTTAGACCCTGTGTTCTTTTGTCACATTGGATGCATTAAGCCACTGATCTGTGCTGATCTGTTCATCTGCCAGTTTAATGTATTCTTTTTAAAATAGCTTCTTTTAAGATTTTTTAAAACTCTGGTTTATTCCAGTTTCACTGTGTTTCATTTGGTTGTGGATTTTTTTTTTTTTTTTTTAAGTAATCCTGTTTTGTATTCTCTGGGCTTTTAAATTTGTGTATCTGTCTTTCATCAGTTTTGGTAAATTCTCAGCCATCGTGTGCTCAGATATTAGCTCTATACCATTCTTTTTTTCATTTCCTTCTAGAACTCCAAATAAAGCCTTCTCACTGTATCTCCTGTGCTTCTTACATGCTCATTTCCATCCTTTTGTCCCCTTCTCCTTGCCCAGGCTTCATTCCGGATCTAATTTACCTTCCAGTTCACTAAATTTTTTCTTTAGCTCTGTAATCTGGCTTAAATGTACCCATTGAGTGCTCAGTTAAGTTTTTCTATTTTTCAGTTACAGACTTTCCATTTGCTTCCTTTTTTCTGGAGACACAGTATCACTGTTGCCCAGGCTAGAGTACAGTGGCAAAATCTCTCACAGCAACCTCCGCCTTCCAGGTTCAAGTGGTTCTCATGCCTCAGCCTCCCAAGTAGCTGGGATTACAGGTATGCACCACCACACCTGACCAGTTTTTGTATTTTTAGTAGACAGGAGTTTTGCCATGTTGGCCAGGCTGGTCTTGAACTCCTGACCTCAAGTGCTCTGCCCGGCTCAGCTTCCCAAAGCTCTGGATTACAGCATGAGCCACCGCACCGGGCCTTCTTTCTTTTTCATGGTATGCCAGATTCTCAAATGTAACCTTATTTTCCTTGAACATAGTAACATTGTTATATTAAAAGCTGTTTCTGTTAAGATCTGTGGCAGTGGCTTTCTCTGATGTTGACTCTGAATGTGTCATGTATCCTCTGCATTAAACTCCTTCCATCTGAATACACAAAGTGGTTTCTGATTTTCGGGTTAGAAACTGACTGACAAACTGCTGTCTGCCTGCTTTTAACCTGGGCCTTAAAATTTTCTGCAGAATCCTTTCACAGTCCACAGCCCCACTTTGTATTTTATTAACTTTCAGTAAAGGGGAACTTGGTTCAAGAATCATAGAAGTTGTTTAAAGCCAAGATTCGAAAGTGAATCCAAATTGGGAAAGATAAAAATCTCCCCTCAAGTTCCTGGCCTTAGTAAAGGGTTTTTATTTAATTATGTATTATATTTATTTGTATATATATGGCACACAGCCATCCTCCCCATTTTGTTTGAGTTGGTCTCTTATCTATCAAGTTCATTTCCTTTCCACAAAACAATATCTGGGATATAAGAGGTTAGCTATTTGCTAATAGTTAAGACATCTTGGGGTCATTTCAATTCAGTATTTTTAATTTTTCATTCCCAAGTCATTTAAATAACTAAGAAGTTATTTCTTAGACCTGTCCTCTGAATATACCTTTAAAACAAACAAACAAACAAAAAATCGAAAACCTCAGTGAGCACAAATCGTGAAGTTCCTAGGTTCCAGCTTCTTCCTTTTTCAGATTTTTTTCCTTTAAAAACAAAGATTGACTCAAGCATGTAACAGCAGAAATACTGTGATAGCAACACACACACAGTTTTAGCTACTTCTATGGGAAGTGTTACATTTCCCAGTTCCCAGTTCCATTCTAATGGAAAGTTTTCTAGTTTATCTTGTCTGGAAACTGGCTGATTGACATCCAGTGGGGCTTTGAGGGGCATCTTAAAGGTCTTCTATATCCCCAGCTCCTCAGCTCCCTCTGAAGCTGACTACCCCTTGTCATGGTTAGTGCATTTAGGAGAAGCCAGGGATCTACCCCTGAACACACTAACCCTTGGCTAAGACCACTGTCCACTGTGCCTAAGCAGTCAGGCAAACAGGACAGTGAACAAAACACCATGGCCAGAACATCTTCACAAAACATGGCCTTGATGACCCAATGGCCTCATGCCACTTACTGTGGAGGCCTCCACCTGGGGATCTTGCCTTTCCAACATTCTTTAGCCAGTCCCACAACTGAAGTATTTCAAGCATATGCCCATTGGTAAGGTTGGTTCTTCATTAATTAACCGGGTATTCAAAATCTTATCAGAAGCAAAATGGTAGAGGGGCAGAGAAGAAGCAAATTCAGCACATCATAGTGAAGCTGTCCTTGGCGCTGAGAGTTCTTAGCGGGATAGGATCCAACCAGATCTGGAACATTTATTTCTTGTCCGCACACAACCATTTTATTATAACTTTTATTTTAGGCTCAGAGGTACATATGTAGGTTTATTATATTGGTAAACTATGTGTCATGGGGGTTGATGTTCAGATTATTTCATCACCCAGGTAATAAGCCTAATAATACCCAATAGGTATGTTTTCTGATACTCTTCCTCCTCCTGCTCTCCACCCTCAAGTAGGCCCCAGTGTCTGTTCCCCTCTTTGTGTCCATATATTCTCATTGTTCGCTCCTACTTGTGAGAATATACAGTATTTGGCTTTCTTTTGCTTTATTAGTTCACTTAGGATAATGGCCTCCAGCTCCACTCATGTTGCTCCAAAGGACATGATCTCCTTTTTATGGCTGCATAGTATTCCATGAACACAACCATTTTAAACTAAGGGATTAAGTGACTTTTATGAAAGAAACTAACTAGTCTGTGCATTTACGCTTCAAGGAATTCATACAAACAGGCTGTCATGGTTCCTGAACCAGCCTCAGTATCACCAGGGCAGCATGTGAGAGGAAGTTGAGGCAGCACCCTGGCACTGTTTTTAGCCACTGCTCTATACCAGGCCTTTATGTGAATGCTTTCCCTTCTAAACATATGTTTTTGATTTTTTAACCAAAGCAATCTTACTATATGTGACATTGGCACCTTTGCATTTAGACAGTGACCCACCTTTCTGTAAAAGTCCACACACATCTTTCTGCATTCTTTCTAAGGGCTTCCTAGTAAGTACATTGTATAGATATACCATACTTTACCTGACCCCCTAAGGATAAATGTTTTGGTGGTTTTCAGTTTTTGTTAGTATCAACAATGCTGCAATAAAATACATTTTTCTACCGACAGATAGATTTCTAAAGGCAGAATTGCTGAGTCAAGATTTGTATAAATTTTTGCTAGATACTAGAAAATTGCCCTCCAAAAATATTGTAACAGTTTATACTTTTCATTTTTTTTGAGACAGAGTCACTCTGTCAACTAGGCTGGAGTACAGTGGCTCCATCTTGGCTCACTGCAACCTCCACCTCCTGGGTTCAAGTGATTCCTCTGCCTCAGCCTCCTGAGGAGCTGGGATTACAGGTGCCTGCCATCACGCCTGGCTAATTTTTTTTTTTTTTTTGTATTTTTAGTAGAGATGGGATTTCACCATGTTGGTTAGGCTGGTCTTGAACTCCTGACCTTGTGATCCGCCCACCTTAGCCTCCCAAAGTGCTGGGATTACAGGAGTGAGCCACCATGCCCAGCCAGTTTATACTTTTGACAATAGTATATGATGTTTCTCCACATCTTCATTAACACTAGGTATTATCAACATTTTTCACCTTTTACCAAACTGACAGTTGACAAATGCTGGGGTTTTTTTTTGTATGTGGTTTTTTTATTTTTATTTTTATTTTGAAACAATCTAAACTTACCAAAAAAGAAGTATAGTATAAAACTTTTTTTTCTGAACCATTTGAGATTAAGCCACTGACATGATGCCCTATCACCTCAGAATACTTTTGAGTGTGTATTTCTACAGGAACCCCCTGCATCATCAGCATACAATTGTGAAAATTAGGGAATCAACATCGATTCATTACTACTACTTAATGCTCAGACCCAAGTTTCTTTCATTGTCCCAATGTCCTTTAGAGCAAAGATTTTAGTTTAGAATTGTTCATTGTTAATTAGTGTTTGCATCTTTTTTAGTAATCTTCAATCTAGAATAGTGCCTCAGCCCTTTCTCAACTTCCATGACTTTTCAAAATTACAAGCCCTACTCACCTCGCTTGGGCACTGAAACCCTAACTCCCTGCATTGCATGGTCCCCTCTTCACCTTGCTTGGGTGCTGAGACCCATGCCAGGCCATGCTCCACCACCACATGGGCCTCCTTGACCCCCTCCTCACCCTGCTTGGGCTCCAACACCTAGCTTTGGGACACTGAAGCTCTGTCCCCCCACAACGGAATCCTATCTTGGTTGGTTTTGTATAACGGAAGCTTAATTGTTTAGGAAGGGAAGGAATTCTTTTTTTCATCTCAGTAGAAATTTAAGATTTTCTATACATAGGTCCAGTTAAGTTTATTTCTAGCTTCAATAAATGTTTGAAGGAGAGTAAATATCCTCAACTTTACATCAAGTTCATTGGCAAATGTAAGGTTTTTTTCTTGAGGGAAGCTTTAACAAAGCCCAAGAACATGACCTTGTGCTTGGTGAAGGAGCACCAACTGATAGAGGAGGCTCAGAGGAGAGTGGCTGTCCCTTCTCATGAGCACTATCCCAAGAATTCCTTTGAGAGAAGTCAGACATTTGACAAAAATTGAAAAGCTGACTGTTGGAGATTATATTTCTTCTTGAGGGCCTGGATTATGATTTTCTGTTATGTAGTCTTTTCCCCAAAGCAGATTCATCCCAGAAGAGTCTCCGGGGAAGATTCCAGTAAATTGAACACTTAATAATCATAAATTTCAATAGGGAAAATTGTTGTGCATTCCAGAGCCTCTGAATTAACATACCTTTTCGCTAAAATCCTTTACATCCCAGTAGATAATCTCTGCTAAAAGTTAACTCTGATTAGGAGTTTCCCTTCAATGGCTAGCCTAAAAAACAGCTGTTTTTACCTGCCTGCTTTCCCCACCCTCACCACCAGCACCTGTCATTCAGCTTCTTCCTACTCAGTGTGAGGTGCCACACAATTCAGTTGTTGCTCACAGTCAAAGCTTACAGCTCAAGAGTTCAAGTAAGTGGACCTTTAATGCAAAACAAACCCACAAAACAGAAGAAATTTGATCGATAAACATGGTGCCAATGATGATATCGCACACAGTGAATAAGCCATTGTATAGAAAAGCAGAAAATAGAAGATGAGGGGGAGGACACACGGAGAGTCACTGCTGTTGGATTCATCTTCAAAGATGGGCCCCACAGTGGTCTTGTTTCATGGCCCTCAGCCACTCACCAATGCTTTGCAAGCTGTTTCATGCTTATTAAATTAATTCTTTATCCAGTTGATGGCCTAAAATAGAAAATAGAGACTGGGATAAGCCTGAGTTAGCAGGAGCTTTTATCTCCTTTGGGAATCAGACAGTAGGTGGCAGGACTATGACTGTGGACACAAAGACCTGGCTCTCAGGTGGCCATACGTGTACTGCAGAAAAATGTGTTTATAGCTATTCAAATTCATTTCTTGGAGACTCTCATTTGATAGCTCAGGAATGTTATGCAATGTTAATAAGTATAGCTTTTTTAATCAACTTGAATAAAATGTATTGTTATAGGAAATTAGTGGCTGTGGCAGTCCCGACTCATTGCCTCTGCAAAGAGTAGCCATATATCTGCAACCCACCTCTGTTGTCACTATCCAGCCCCAGTGGCTCTCGAATGACAAGACAGAACTCTTTTTAAGGCAGCATGGCCCTTACCTCAGTTTACATTTTCATTAAAAGACTGGTTTAGGCATGTAGGCTGCTTTGTGGCTTGACCTCTCATGTGGGTTCACTTGTGCCCCCTAAAAATAGATGTTCAAGTCCTAACCCCTAGTACATGCAAATGTGACCTTATTCGGAAATTGCATCTTTACAAATGTAATCAAGTTAAAATGAGGTCACACTGGATTTGAGGGGCCCTGAATCTAGAGACTTGTCCTTATGAGGAGTGAGAGATTTAGAGACACACCATGTGAGGTAGGGATTGGAGGTAGGTAGGGATTGGAAAAGAATGCCAGAGATTGCTAGGAGCCACCAGAAGCTGAAAGAGGCAAGAAAGGATTTGCCTCTAAGCCTTCAGAGGGAGATGGCCCTGCTAACAACTTGATTTCCAGCTTCTATATTCCAAGTCTGTGAGAAAATTAATTTCTGTTACTTAGGCGTCTCAGTTTGTAGAATAGTCATGAGTCACTTAACAACGGGGATACATTCTGGGAAATGCATCATTAGGCCATTGTGTGAACATCATAGAATGCACACTCACAAACCTAGCTAGGAGAGCCTACTACACAGCTAGGTTGCTTGGTATGGCCTGCTGCTGTGGGGCTGCCAACCAGTACAGCATGTGACTATACTCTGAATACTGTAGGCAACTGTAACACAGTAAATACTGTGTATCTAAACATAGAAAAAGTACAGTAAAAATAATGGTGTTAGGCTAGGTGTGGTGGCTCACACCTGTAATCCCAGCACTTTGGGAGGCCCAGGCAGGTGGACCACAAGGTCAGGGGTTCGAGACCACCCTGGCCAACCTGGTGAAACCACCCCCCCATCTCTACTAAAAATACAAAAATTAGCCAGGCATGGTGGCGGGCACCCGTAGTTCCAGCTACTTGGGAAGCTGAGGCAGGAGAATCGCTTGAATCTGGGAGACAAAGGTTGCAGTGAGCCAAGATCATGCCTCTGCACTCCAGCCTCAACAACAGAGGGAGACTCTGTCTCAATAATAATAATAATGGTGTTATAATTTTATGGACTACTGTCAAATATGCAGTCCACCGCTAACTGAAATGTTATGTAGTATGTGACTACTTTGTTACAGCCACCCCAGGAAATTAATACAGGCTGTAAGAGCCAAACAACCTTGATTTTTCTTTTTTTTAGAATTTCAAATAAAGTTGCATACTGCACTTGAAATTGGGGTGAGAACATCAATTTGGTAATAGAACTGTCACATAAATTATCAGCTCAGTTGAAACTGGCTGAGGAAAACTGTACATGAAGTTTATTGTTGAAAACATTTATTTCTTCAAATTCTAATAAGTATTAACCATTTCAGGTGGTTTGTATGTGCTAGGTTTTACTTATGTTAACTCATTTTTACCTTACAACAATTATCTTGGTGAGAAACTTTTATCCACATTTTACAGAGGAAGAAAATTGATGAAGAGCAAAGTCATAGTTATTAAATGTCAGGGTCAGTCCTACACCCAGGGCAGTCTGCCTGCAGTGCAGAACTTCTGGTGGCCACACTCTGCCACCAAAAGAGCAGGGCAAATCCCATTCTCTATGAAGAAACGCTTTTTGGAGATGCCAGAGATGTCATTTATGCCTTAGTTCTCACCTGTGTCTGATGGAGTTGAGGACAAATGTCCTCCATGAAACAGCTGTAAATGTTAACAGGTGTATTAGTAAAGTTTCTCCAGAGAGACAGAACTAATAGGAGAGAAAGGTGGATGAGAGGGGATTTATTATTGGAATTGGCTCATACAAATACGGAGGCTGAGAAGCCTCACGATATGTCTTATGCAAGCTGGAGAATCAGAGAAGCTGGTGGCATGGCCCAATCCCAGTTGGAAGGCCTGAGAAACAAGTAAGCACATGGTGTAACTAAGTTCAAGGCTAAAGGCTTGAGATCCCCAGAGGACCACTGGTGCAAGTGTTAGAGTCCAAAGGCCAAAGATCCTCGAGTTCTGTGGTCCAAGGGCATGAGAGAAGGGTGTCACAGCTCTGAAAGACAGAATGTACTCTTCTTCCACCTTTTTGTTCCATCTGAGCCCTCAGGTGATTATGTAGTGCCTGCCTACATTGAGGGTTGATCTTCCCTACTCAGTCTACCGAGTAGGTCTCAAGCCTTTATCCTGGAACTTGGTTACACCACGTGCTTCCTTATTTCTCCAGCCTTCCAACTTAGACCAAGCTGTGCTACCATTTCTTTCTTATAGTTCTGAAGGCTGGCAAGTCCAAGATCAAAGTGCAGGCAGATCTGGTGTCTGAGGAGGGCCCACCTGCTTCTGGTTTACAAATGGCAGTCTTTGTGTGGTAGTCTCACATGACAGAGAGTAGAAAGAAAGCTCTTTTTATAATGCCACTGCCATGATCTGAATGTATCCCCGGAAATTCAACCACACAACAGTCTCCTCCAAAAACACAGTCCTTCCCAGAAACAGTGTTTCCCCAGCCATCTAGGCATCTCTCAATACTGTCAAGTTGACACCTAAAACTATCACAGGGACACTCTACAAGTAACTGGTAAACCCACCAGAAGATCAGGGTCCAGATGCAAAAAGCTTGGGGTCTCTTGGTTGGGCTGCTATAACAAATTATCATAGACTGGGTGGCTTAAACAACACATATTTCTTTCTTACAGTTCTGAAGGCTGGCAAGTTCAAGATCAAGGTGCAGGCACATCTGGTGTCTGATGAGGGCCCACCTGCTTTCTGACTTGCATATGGCAGTGTTCTTGTGGTTTACACACATGGCAGAGAGCAAGCTCTTGTGTCTCTTTTTATAAGGCCGCTGCAATAGTCTGAATGTGTCTCCCAAGATTCATATGTTAGAAACTTGATCCCCACCAGCTGTTTGGAGGCTGAGATGGGAGGATTGCTTGAGCTCAGGAGTTTGAGGCTGCAGTGAGCTATGATCATGCCATTATACTCCAGCCTAGGCAACAGAACAAGGCCCCATCAGTCAGTCAGTCAGTCAACACATAAATAAGTTTATCCATCTAATCCCAATGCAATAGCTGTGAAAGAACAAATATTTGTTCTTTATAAATTACCCAGTCTCAGATATTCTATTATAGCAGCACAAAATGGACTAACAGCCACTAATCCCACTCATGAGGGCCCTACCCTCATGACCTATTTACCTCCCAAAGTTCACCCCTCCTAATACCATCACAATGGGGTTAAGATCTCAACATAGAAACTTTGTGGGGAGACAAACATTCAGTTCATAACATAGAGTGTCTTAGCTTGGGCTGCTATAACAAATACCAAGCCATAGAGTGGTGGAGAAATTTATTTCTCGGCTCTGGGAGTTGGAAGTCTGAGGTCATGGTGCCAGCATGGTGAGGTTATACTGAGGGTCCTCTCACAAGTTGCAGATGGCTGCCTTCTTATTGTATCCTCACATGGCAGAAAATCAGCAAGCTAGCTCTCTGTTCTCTTAGGCAGTAATTCCATTCATGAGGGCTCCACTCTCATGACCTAATTACCTCCCAAAGGCCCCACCTCCAAATACTATCACATTGGGAAATATATTTCAACATATTAATTTTGGGGTGACAGTCCATTCACAACATGGAATGAACCGTGAGACTGCTGACCAGAACATGGAAAATGCAGCCTTATAAGCAGTCGCTGTGCTGGAGCCTGGCTGATTGCCAGACACAACAACCAAACCCTCACCCTGACCCCCAACCCCAGCCACGCTGGAATCTGAACGGAGAGGCCACCCTTTCCTTGCAGGACCAGCTTCTAGAATAGCAGTTCTCAAACTTGAGCAAATGTCAGAATCATCTGAAGGGCTTGCTAAAACACAGACTTCTGGGCCCTAGAGTTCCTTCTGTCTGGGTGGCTGAGAAGTTGTTTGGTTACAAGTTCCTGGGTGATGCAGATTCTGTGTGTCTGGAGATAACATTTTGAGAACTGCTGTTTCAGAAGTTCTCCACATTAAAGTCTACTAGTCCTGACTGGTACCAAAAGGGTCATGAGGTGGTGAGTGCACAAGATACAAAGTGAAAACACTGTCTTAGAATTTAAAATAATACTTCCTAATACAAATAGGTAGTTTTTTGTTAATGGAATTATCAACCATGGCTGTATTTATTTCTTATTGCTGCTGTAACAGATTACCATAATTTGGTGACTTAAAACAATGTAAATTTATTAACGTGGAGTTTGGGATATCAGAAATCAGAAATCCAAGCCCAGGTGCAGTGGCTCATGCCTGTAATCTCAGAACTTTGGGAGAACAAAGCAGGAGGATGCTTGAGCACAGGAGTTTGAGACCAGCCTGGGCAATGTAGTGAAACCCCCCATCTCTACAAAAAATGCAAAAATTAGCAGGGCATGGTGGCGCACGCCTGTAGTCTCAGCTACCTGGGAGGCTGAGGTGGAAGGATCACTTGAGTCCAGGAAGGTTGAGGCTGCAGTGAGCCATGATTACACCACTGCATTACAACCTGGGTGACAGTACAAGGCTGTCTCAAAGAAAAAAAGAAATTAGAAATGAGTCTCATTGGGTTAAAATCAAGGAGTCAGCAAGAGTTGTGTTTTTTGTTTTGTTTTGTTTTTGAGATGCAGTCTCGCTCTGTCGCCCAGGCTGGAGTGCAATGGTGCGATCTCAGCTCACTGCAACTTCTGCCTCCAAGGTTCAAGCAATTCTCCTACCTCAGCCTCCTGAGTAGCTGTAATCACAGGCATGCACCACCATGCCTAGCTAATTTTTTTTAATAGAGACAGGGTTTCACCATGTTGGTGACGCTGGTCTTGAACTCCTGACCTCAGGTCATCTGCCCACCTCGGCCTCCCAAACTGCTGGGATTACAGGCATGAGCCACCACACCTGGCCAAGGAGTTGTGTTTTTATGGAGGTTCTAGAAGGAAATACATTCCTAGTCTTTTCCAGAGACTGTCTACATCCCTTGACTTATCCCCCAACTCCCATCTTCAAAGCCAGCAGTGGCTGGTCAAGCCTTTTTCATACTGCATCACCCTGAAACTGATTCTCTTGCCTTCTTCATTCACCTACAAGGACCCTTGTGATTACATTGGGCCCTCTGGGATAATCCAGAATGACATTCCAAGATTTTAAACATCTGTAAAGTTCCTTCTGCCATGCAATACCTGTTCACAGGTTCCAGATAGTAGGAGGTAGACATCTTTGGGAGGACATTATTCTGGATACCACAGTGGTGAAAACCACTAGCTACCTGCTAGACTCTACTTCCCTATCTGTGGGCACATAACTAGACCACACTTTCCAGCCTTCTTTGCATTTGGGTGAGGCTGGGTGACTAAGGTCTCTCCAAAGGAAGGTGAGCATAACTATGTTACTGCCATGTTAGGTCCATGAGAATGTCCTCTGCATGCTCCTCCATTCTCTTTTCCCATTGTTAGGAACTTAGGGGATGGCAGAGCCTAGGTGCCTATCTTACTTTGTTTTCTGTTGCTTGTAATAGAATACCTGAAACTGGACAGTTTATAAAGAAAAGGAATTTAGTTCTTACAGCTCCGGAGGCTGACAAGTCCAAGGTCAATGGGTCGCATCTGGTGAGCACCTTCTTGCTGGTGGGGACTCTCTACAGTCTTGGGGTGTACAGGGCATCATATGGTGAGGGGCTCAGTGTGCTAGCTCAGGTCTCTCTTTCTCTTCTTATGAAGCCACCAGTCCAAATCTTGTGATAACACATTAATCCATTAATGCCTGAATGGATTAATCCATTCATGAGGATAGAGCCCTCATGACCCAGTGATCATCTCTTAAAAGCCCATTTCTCAATACTGCCACATTGATAAGTTTCAGGATGAATTTTGGAGGCGACAGACATCAAACCAAACAGTGCCAGAATGACCAAAAAGGAAGGAACCACCCGCTGACCTGAACACTCATCCTGGACAGTCAAGTGAGCAAGAATTAGATTTTGGGAAGATAGAGGTTATACTGTGGAACCTTTGCATTTGGGTTCTGCTTGTTATGGTATTTAGTTGATCTTAACTAATATATAAACAAGCATATTTCTTCAGAGGCTACGTTGACTCCCAATATTCATTTCTCAGAAGACCTAACCTTGTACTGCCCTAGCAAGATTGAGGTCATCTGAGATAAGGAACCACAATTTTTTCCTCTCCGCTTCAATAATGTATTGGCAACAGGTTCAGGGCAGGTACAACACTGAGACCTGCAGACGCCTGCTTCCTTTGTCCCTTTGGGCATACTTTCTTTCTCACTGCCTTTTGTAAGGTCCCATCCTTCAACTCTACTGCTCTCACTGGCTTCGCCATAGGGCCCCTTAGCTTCCACTTTCAAACTTGCCGGGCTTGGCCCGAGTGTTGTCAGGCTTCCCTTCACTCTGTTATACCATCCACTGATCCTCTATTGCTCTGTGTCCTTCACTGTCAAACTTCTTGAAAGGGTAGCTGACCTCTGTCCCCACTTTTGCTGCCTCCAGTCCTCTTACCACTATGGACTCAAGTTTCTACTTTTGCTTATTCAGGGAGGCTCAGGAAATAGGAACAGGGAAGCCATGAGATCTCCCCAAACTCTGCAGTAACAGAGTCAACAAGACAATGGCTTAAGGAGAGACCAGTCCGGGCACAGTGGCTCATGCCTGTAATCCCAGCACTTTGGACACCCAGGCAGGCAAATCATGAGGTCAAGAGATCGAGACCATCCTGGCCAACATGGTGAAACCTCATCTCTACTAAAAATACAAAAATAAGCTGGGCATGGTAGCACGTACCTGTAGTCCCAGCGACTCGGGAGGCTGAGGCAGGAGAATCTCTTGAACTAATAAGACAGAGGTTGCAGCCAAGATGGTCCCACTGCACTCCACCCTGGTGACAGAGCAAGATTGTCTTAAAAAGAAGAAGAAGAAAAAAAAATGGAGAGACCAGCTGATCAGTCACACAAGTTGTTCCACAATACCCTTGTGTCAGAAAGGGAGGCTGAATACCAGGACCGCTGGCCCCACTTTGAGCCCCTTCACTATGAGTACACTTCAGAGGGCTCTGGCAGGGTGAGGGAGACTTGGTGGTGTCATGGAGAGTAAAGGTCTAGCAAATCCATTGTGAAGACATTTCATGGGGACAACCCAGTGACTTCACTTGAAGCAAAGTAGGATTTTTCCAACCTTGAGATTCTTATTTTCTTTAGTATTCATGTTCAAGAAGTACAGAGGTGGGGGGTGGGGGAAGAGCAAATGAGCTTTGTGTATGAGGAGCTGGGGCCTGGCTCTTGACAATGTCACCCATTCCCTCCCCAGGCTTTTCTTGGGGCTTTCAGTGTCAGCTCCGAGGTCTAGAGGTATAACCAGTGCTTTTAGCTATGTCACATCACTGATGAGCTTCTCTTTCCACTTTGGTAAACCAATCTTCTGTAAAATCTCTTCAAAGTTTCTTTTTTAAAGCAGATGAACTTATTTTTCAGATAAAAATGTAGGCAGAACCCTCAAATAGATGAAGGTGGAGCTTCTCAGGTAGAGACTGGAGAATTGGGGTGTTGACCACTGGGCCTAAGAGACTCTCCCTAGTGATCTGAGTCACCTCCAAAGAGCTAGGTATCAACTCCAAGACACACTGTGCCCCTTTCTTCCATTTAATAATTGAAGCCTCACCACCAGAGGTTTGGCAGGGGATGTGCCCAGCTTCCTTTCAAGTCTCTGGCCAGTGGGATGTAAGCAGAAGTGAAGGGGCAACTTTCAGGTGATGACTTTGAAAGAAACCTTAGTCCTCTGCTTCCCCTGTCCTTATACCTGGCTGGGGATGGGAGAACTGGAGCAGTCTCCTGGATCTGCAGGTGGATACCATGTGCTAATGTTGGCAAAGCAACCTCAGTGCCTAGAGTACCTCAAAGAGGAGGGCAACTATTGCTCTGCACCACCCACCTTCTACCTCTGAACTGTCACCCGAAAAAGAAACAGAGGCCTGCCTTGTTGAAGCCAGTGTGTTTGGTGTCTTTTTGTACAGTGGCTTAGTCAGTTGCCTAACTAGAAGACCAAGGCTCAAAGGAACATACTTTGAGCACCCAATTTATGGAAGATCGTTTCTCTTCTCATAACACATGTCCTCATGTAGCTTTGGCCTGTTTAACAGCTTTCTCAACTCCATCCCAATAGAGAAATCTGCAGCTTTCATGGATGAGAGGATCTTAAAAGTTAGTTCTTCCAATTGGTCATAAATGTTGATATTAATTTATAAACTGATACAGGAACATACAGCAAATTAGTAGAAAATCTGATTCCTGTTTACTTTTCTCCTTGCGTTGTTTCCTGCCAATGCACGCCATTTCTTTATTCTTTCCACTCTTCCTCACTCCTCCTTCCCTTTAATTTTTCTCTGTTACGTCTAAATAAGCTGTCCATGCATGGCACTCCATGGGTTCTGATAACAGACTCAACAAGGCAATGGCTTAAAGATGGAGTGACCAGCTGATCAGTCACACAAGTTGTTCCAGTGTAATTACTTTCACAATTGTCTCAGTTTGGATGATAAATTATATGGACACTCTACTCAAAGAGCAAAGAACTTTATGTCTGTCTTTCTTCAAAGTCCAAGGTGAGCATGCCTGCCTGGCAGCTCTCCCTAATTCCTTTTAAATCATTGCTTTGCCATATTTCAGCACATTGCTGTCATCTGTGTGGTTGAAGATGGACTGCTGCCATGTTGACTCACTAGTGACTTTTTGATTCTTTAATTCCAGTTTGACTGGCATTCCTCTTTGTGTGTGTATTTAGTTCTATGCAGTTTTATCACATGTGTAGGCTTGTGTAACCACCACCACAGCCAAGATACAGAACAGCGAAGTTTGTTTTTGTTCACTGTCACTTCTCCAAAATCTAGTGCAATGCCTGGCACAAAGACACTCCGTACATATTGTTTGAATGGGTGAATAAATGAATGAATGAATGGTGTGCTAGTTTGGGTTTCAAGATGCCATAGCTGAGATGCAAAACCCAAGTAGTGCAAGTGAGGTACATGTGGCAGTCTAGAGGTAGGACCAGCAGGATAGCTGTGCCATCTATCTCTGGGCCAGGCAACTGCTGCCGTCCTACTATGTCCCCAGCAGATGGGCAGGGGATAGGTGGGGCCCAGTCTTTACAAGGGCAGGGCCTGGAGTTGTATGCCTCACTTCCCCTCATATCCTACTGGCCAGGACTTAGGTGTAAGTACACACCACACTGCATAGGAGGCCGAGGTAGATGGTATTACTTGCCTGCAATTCTTCCTTCCCTCTTTTCTCTTGGTAGTTATTCACCAAAGTGGAGAGTACTTTTCTACAACTCATGCAGGGCTTTGGCCAATGGAATATGGGCAGAAGCGAGCATGTTAGTTCTGAGCTGATGCCTTAAGAGTCCCCTTGTGTCTCTGCTCGTCCAGTGGCCCTGTTGCCACCCCAGATGGTCACTGGTTCAGAGGATGAGAGACAAGTGAAGTGGCCCTGACTCAGTTCATAGCTTGAAACATAGCTGCCTCTACTGGCCTGCAAGAAAAATTAATGACTTCTTTGATAAGCTGCTGAGATTTTGAGGTTGCCTACCATGAGCTCAGCCTTAACTGGGTTAGTTCTACTGTTAACGAAGGGAAGAATGAACATTTGCGGACTTTGAGCATTCTGCAGTATGAGAAGGGCCCCTCTCTGGATGGAGCAGGGACTCCTTAGGATTCCAGAGCAGAGCCCAGGCCACTTAGTTAGCATGGACAAGATGGACACGGCATGCTTTCCTGGGACTCGCATGGGCAGAGGGACTGGAGATCAGCTGAACTGGGGCCAGATGGAAGCACCTCTGTCTTGCGGCATCTTGGGGATAAAGGGAAGTTTGGGGTGAGAAGAATGATAATGGAAAGCTGCTATGTCCAAACAAATAAAACTGTCCCATTAACAAGTTGAAGAAGAGTTTTCCAGTGAATTGAGAACTGGTACTAATAATAGAAGCCTCAGAAAACTGTGCATTTTGCCATATTAAATAGTTCATTTGTGTCTATCTGTTGCCAATACAGCTGTAGAGAATAATACTGCTCCAATTTGGATCCAATACAGTATTTGGAATGCATGGAAAAGATCACTGATGCCTTTACTAGATGCCTTACCTCTGAAGAATTATTTCTCCACATAATCAGCTCTCAGTTTTGAGCTGAATGCAGATGTTGAAGGAAGCAGCTCTGTCTTCCTTGCTGATTATGCTGGCAACAGGAATTTGGATGTGCAGAAATGACATCAAATTCTTTCCACCTTGAAACTGCTAGAGATATAGAAGAGGTTAAAAAGCTTTTAAAAGCACAGCAATTTGGGTGTGAATATCCATTTTGAGGTGGATGAATTAGTTCCTGATAAAGTATTGGCTGCTTATTTGAAACTGGTTGAGGGAAAGAAAACATGACTCTAAAAAGTTCTTCATATACATATATATCCTAAATTTTAACTGGTTTTTATTGATATTTATCTGTCTACTTTCTATTATGAAAATTTTCAACATTTAAAATGTCAAAAGAATAAAACCATAACTGCTTCTCATCTAGATTCAATGGTTGTTAATGTTTTACCAAATTTAGTTTTTCTCTTCTGTCTCCCCACAAACACATGATGTGTACAATTTTTGAAAATAAGTTGTCAGTATGACATCATGATCCCTAAGTGCTTCAATATTAATCTCCTAAGAATATAGAAAATCTGCTATATAACCATAATACCACTATCATACCTAGGAAACTTAGTAATGATTCTACAATCACAACTAATATACAAGTCATTTTTAAATTTTCACAATTGTCCCTTAAATATTTTTATGCAATTTCCCCCAAGATCGAATCAAGGCTTGTGGATTCCACCTGGAAGTTAATCCGGAAAATCTCCCCCAGCTTAACCTCTGTTTGGTTTTGATTTACAACATCAACTTGAATCTGCACCAGCTGTCTTAAAGAAAGTCACGCATCCCGGTTTGCCCGACTGTTTCTTGATGGTGTCCTTTAACTTTTAAGTCCTTAAAATGGGAGTTAGAATTTTTGTTTTGTTTTGTTTTTTGTTTTTATGAGTCTCGCTCTATTGCCAGGCTGGAGTGTAGTTGTGCGATCTTGGCTTACTGCAACATCTGCCTTCCGGCTTCAAATGATTCTTCTGCCTCAGCCCCCCCACGTAGCTGGGACTACAGACATGTGCCACCATGCCCAGCTAATTTTTGTATTTTTAGTAGAGACGGGGTTTCACCATGTTGTCCAGGAGGATAGTTTTCATCTCTTGACCTTGTGATCCGCCAGCCCCAGCTTCGCAAAGTGCTGGGATTACAAGCATGAGCCACCGTGCCCAGCCAGAATTTAGGTTTTAGGTTTGAATAAACTTTTTTTTGTTTGTTTTTTGTTATAAACAATACCTTATAAGTATTCCATGATGACGTCCACACATTGGGTTTTTGCACTACCAGTGACGCTCTGGGGGATGACCTGATTAAGAAAGTAATTATTATTTTTTTAAATTTTTTATTATTATTATTTTTTGAGACGGAGTTTTGCTCGTTACCCAGGCTGAAGTGCAATGGCGCCATCTCGGCTCACCGCAAACTCCGCCTCCTGGGTTCAAGCAATTCTCCTGCCTCAGCCTCCCGAGTAGCTGGGACTACAGGCGCGCACTACCATGCCCAGCTAATTTTTGTATTTTTAGTAGAGACGGGGTTTCACCTTGTTGACCAGGATGGTCTCGAGCTCTCGACCTCGTGATCCACCCGCCTCAGCCTCCCAAAGTGCTGGGATTATAGGCTTGAGCCACCGCGCCCGACCCAAGAAAGTAATTATTATATGTCCATGAAAAGGTACCTTTGCCTGGGAACATCAACTGAGGCAAAGTTTGCACGCTATTGCTTTGTGGGGTGGAGGTGCAATGCTATGAAAGAAAGAGGGGAAAAATGAATTGAGGGGGGAAAAATACCAAGTAGTTCATTGCTGAATCGGCCACTGCTTGATAAACAGCACAGTTGACTGCTTGGCCATGTGAGACATCTTTGGAGGTGCTGTGTAGTTCCACTGCATCTCAGAGGAGTCCTATAAGACAAAGCTCATGGGGTGTTAAAGCACCTGTACTTCAGGATTCTGTTTCTAGGTGCCTCTGCATAGCCACTGGGAAAGCTAGTTCACCCATAGGCCTGTTGG